ACACACACACACACACACACATAATTTTTTTTGTGTGTGATTTTGGTGAAAGTTTACAGAACAAATTCATTTTCCATATAGCAGTTTGTACACATTTTTTCTTATGATGTTGACTGAAGTTTCCCACAGTATAACAGCTCTCTTCCCACTTCCTCTCCATAATTACCTCTTCCCTATGTCCTTCCTTTCCATGCACTAATGCTCCTGCCTGTCTCCCTGTGCATACACTGCCCTTCTGTTCTCCCATGATTGAGCTCTCCAAGGAGTGTATCTACCCGATATAAATGTTCAGCCCATATGCCTGTCTTATTTGGCTGGAAGCCACAGTAGTGAGTTCAGTTCCAGACCCAAAGAACAGCTAGGGGCTGTAGTCTCAGGGGTTTCACCAGGCTGTGTCACACCAGCAAACCTGGTCTTCTTTTTTATGATTTTGAGTTTTGTTCCACATTGTTCTCCCACTCTATCCAGGATCTCCTACACAGATCCCTCTCTGAGTGGTAGACAGTGGTAGCCAGGCACCATCTAATTCTTCTGGTCTCAGGGTCATATAGGCTGAGGATCACATGGTCTACCAGTCTCTTGGACTAGTTGTTTCCATGAATCTTTGTGGTTTTCTTCATTCTTCTTTGTTCTGGACAAGGAGAGACCCATCATTGCATCTAGATGGTCACTTGCAAGCTCTTAAGATCCTAGTCGCTTGAGTAATATATTTTGAAGTCAGGAAATATGAGATCTGTTAGTTTGTTCTTCAGAATTGCTTTGGTTACTCAGTATCTCTTATATTTCCATATAAAATTGAAAATTAGTTTTTCTATTACTGTAAAGAATGCTGTTGGAATTTTGATGGAGATTGTATTGTATCTGCAGATTACTTTGGATAGTATTGACATCTTGACTATATAAATCTTCCAATCCATGAGCATGGATTGTCTTTCCATCTCTTTAGGCCTTCTTCAGTTTATTTTAGTGGTGTTTTGTAATTTTCATTGTATAAGTCTTCCACATTCCTGGCTAAATTAATTCCTATGTATTTTATTCATTTAGATGTTATTGTAAATGAAGTTGTCTTAATCTTTTCAGAAATTATGAAAAAATTTAAAAAGTGATTTTAAAAAAAAAACCCTCTAATGTTAATATAATTATTTCTTCTTTCTAGGACATGTGAACTTATATATTTGGCACAACCCAGCAGTTCGTAAGTGGTTCAGTGCATGTTATTTTCACTTTTTGTATATTTTAAATGACAAGTAGAATGCACAGGTTTTTCTGGAGTAATCAGTATTAGTTTGATTGATTATTGCATGCTACTTAATAAGTTATAGTCATAGATTTTAGCCCTGTGTAGATTGTTTATCTTTTCACAAAGGAAATAATATGCAATGAATGCCTTGACTACAAGGGGAGACTAAAAAAGGTGGAAGTTGGTTTAGTGCACCATATCACCAACTCTGGGAAAATGCGTATTTATTGACTAAACATTTACTGTTCTTCTATTAAAGACACTTTATTAACTAAGAGTCAGGACACAATTTTTGTGTAACAGTAAGTATGAAGTCCAACATTAAAAATTTAAAAATATTTTTAAAAATGGAAAGTGTATGCTCTAACAGTGTACTCATTAAAGAGCTCTAGCATTTTTCTTTGGAAACAGATTGAAGGAGTTGTTGATGAGATTTTCTGCCTCACTGAAGTAGTAGTAGTAAAGGTAATATAAAGGAAAATTATATATTATTAATTAACTGATAATGAATCCATTAATTCCAGTAAGTGAATGTCTATGGAAAAGTTTTTTTACCAAGGCAGTATATTAAATTGGTGCCAGAGGGGCAGGGAGGCCACATCTTCTGACCTCCTCTAACCCCACAAGAGGAAGACAGAATCACCATCAGCAGCCCATGGCCTATTCCTGTAAGGCCAGACCTGCTGCCTCCCTCCAGTCCTTTCACCAGCCCTGACACCAATCGTTCTTCCCGCAGCACCCGCCACTTCTCTGCTGGGTTCAGTAATTTGCTGCAGTGGCCACACAGAATTCACAGATTATGGAGTTTATTAGGGAAGTATCAGGCTACAATTCAAGTTCAGGAACAACCCTCAGTCTCTCTCAGCCCGCTGTCTCTCAGCCATCAGTCTCTCTCAGTCTCTCTCCCAGCTGTGCATGTCTCTTGGTATCTCTCTCTCAGCAGCATGTGTCTCTCAGTAGCATGTGTTTCTCAGCCAGCAGTCAGAGAGACCTCTTCTGCCTCTAGGAGGCCTCCTTTTGAGCCTGGGAGAGTGGCCAAAGTAAGCAATCCCAACATAAGGATTCCATACACCTGAGAGGGATCGAACTTCCCAGAAAATTACTTTATGCTGCTCTCAACAGAAATACCCCAGATGGATAACTGATAATCAGGAGCTCCTCAGTTGTTCGTGGCAAATTCCACCCTGGAGTTTACAAAGACTTATGGCTAGAAAAGCCACGCTATGTAACTTGTTACACCACAACTGGCAAACTAGAATCATCCATATTTTTACTTATTATTTTTATTTTAATTAGAAAACAGACCTTAAAAGTAGTAAGGTAATTGGAAACCAGTACACTATTGTATACTATTTCCTTATTTTTAGATTAGAATTGAGATACTTGATATTACCTTTATAAATATATTACTTCTGTGGACTAAGTATAGTATCTTAGGTAGAAATATCAAGTGAATTGAGACAAATTGAGTTTGAGTATAAAATATGTATTTAAGGAGCTCTGGTGGCGTAGTGCCTAAGGCATTTGACTGCTAACCAGAAGGCTGGCAGTTCAAATCTACCCACCACTCCTTGGAAGGAAGACTAGGCAATCTATTTCCCTAGAGATAGTGCCTAGAAAGCCCAAGGAGGGGTCGCTATGAGTCAGAACAGACTCAGTGGCAGTGAGTTGGTTTCTGTATTATATTTTGTAGTTAACTCAGGTATGTAATTTAAATATACAACCAACCAAAAAACAACAAAAAGGTATAATTGTAAAATTTTCTGTCAGTGTTAAATTTTTCTTTTCCTGTGTTGTTTTTTCTCCTGTTTTGTATTTGTTTACTAGGATATCTTCTGAAATAAATTCTGTATTGGTGCTAAAACTGTCTTGGATCACATTTTTACTAGCTAAAGGTAAAGACGTTATGTTTATTACATGCTAATGTAGTAATTAATTGATAGTTCTTTTGGTCTAATAAGCCCAAAACTTTTTATTCAATTTAATGTAGATGCATTTTCCCCCCACTTCGCTTATAACTGTTACTGTCTCATTTCATCTTTATTTCTAGTATCTATTCATATTTTCTTTCTTCCTTTCTTATGTTTTAGAGTAGTGACATTATATGAAAATACGTGCTTATGAGATATAATTAAAGCAGTACAGAAAAGGGCAAAGAAAGATACAAAAAGTTATCCAAAACACCCAGAAATAATTTTTATTAAAAGTATATGTTTGTCATTCTAAGTGTATTTTATGTATACATTCTGCCTAAAAGGTGGATGGTTTGGGTGCATTCACAGACAGAAATAATTTTAATTTTATAAAAACAGTATAACATTATAATACTACCTTTAAAATTAAAAAAAAAAAAAACTTGAATTTTACAAAAGAGAAGAAAGAGAAATGGAAGAAATTGCTTAAATTTAGATGTGTTTTGTCTCCTTAAGAGGTATTATTTCCTAAAATATTTCTCTAAGATTATGAAAAAAGATAGAGGTTAGAATATTTATTTTTTAACTTTGTTTTGATTTCAAATAATATATTTAATTTGCTTTGAAGAAAGAGAATATCAGTATTCTCACACTTCCTGCCACTTACCCTCTCCTCATGTTCAGATTTGTTCATTTTATTCCTATATTATCAAAATTTACAACATTTGCATTTGTTCTGTACTTGTAATAATTACATTTATTTAGTCTGAATTCTGTTTTAAATGGATTCTAATTGTTTCTTTATTATCATGTCTCTATTTCTGTTCTTAATTTTGATTGATCTGTTAGCTAGCTTGTTTTTACCATCAAGGAGTTTTTTTAAAAAAGTATTCCCTATGTCTGTAGGTTTTATCCTTGAAGAGAACTTGGTTGTGTATCCTATTCTTGGCTAAACATTTTGTAACATCCTGTTCTTGGTCATGTTTTGTTTTCCTTAGGCCACTTATTTTCTGGCATTGAACACTGATGTTGAGAAATCTGAGGCTAGCTGAATTCCCCCTCCTCCCTCCCTTACTGCATACCTGAAGCTTTTTTTAAATTTGAAGTTCACTACTTTAACTAGGCTATCTCTTGTTTCTTGTTGTTCTGTATCAACTTCCTTATTGCAGAGTCCCTTCTAAATCTAAAGGTTCTGCTCTTCATTTCAGAAAGTGTAAGGATCTCTGATGGTGGCAATTGTTAAGCCTGATTGGTAGCTGAAAGGTTGGTTTGAACCTGTCGGCCACTCTGAAGAAGAAAAGAACTAGTGATCTGCTGCCATAGATTGTTGTTGTGTGCCTTGGATTCTGACTCATACTGACTTTGTATGAGTAGACTACTCCAGCGGGTTTCCTAGGTTGTAATCTTTATGGAAGCAGATCATCAGGTTGTTTCTTCTGTGAGGAGCTGATGATTTTGAGCTAGCAACCTTTTCATTAGCAGCTGAGCACTTTAACCATTGTGCTTCCAGAGCTCGTAAAATACAGACATAAGGACTGACTTAAATGGGAAATTTTAAGGGTAGAGTTATACTTCAGTTACAATTTCATAATTTTATGTATTGTTTATTTATATTTTTATGTGTTTAAAATCAGATGTTGACTCTTTTGTAAAGAAAACAAAATCTTTAACATGCCTTTAATGATTGTTGACTATGTATCCATACCCATAATTTTCCCTTACTTAAAGATCTCACTCAAAAAGGTGAACCTTTTTTATTTTCAGGGGAAGTATTACAAATGGAAGATGATCTCGTGATCTCATTTCAGTTAATGCTGTGTGTCCTTGATTATTTTATTAAACTCTCACCCCCTGCAATGCTTAAAGAACCATATAGTAAGTATTTAAATAATTTACGCCCCTTCTGCTGTCATTCAACAGGTGTTCATTGATTATCTACTAGGTACAAAGCATGATTTAGAACTTAGAAGATGGTAACAAATCATACATGAGCCCAGCCCTCCAGTAACATAAGCCACAGAAGAAAAATAAGATATACAAACAGATAATTAGAATACATGGTAGAAAATGGTCTGGGCCAATGTACTGCAAATGGTATGAAGTTCAGGAGAGGGAGAAAATTTTTCCAACTGGGAAAAACCATGAAAACTGTTTAGAGGAGGTGTCATTAGAATTGAATGCTGGAGAGTAGTTAGGATTTGAGTATGGTGGGAAGTCGGTGAAGGCATTCCTAGTAAAGAGACAATCAAGAGGAAGGGCACAAATATGAATAAAACTGCATGGGAAATAGTGGCCCACTCTATACAGACAGTAACTTAGCTTAAGTTTTTATTGGTATTGAACGCTATAATGACAAAGTGACTATTTTAGGAGCTCTGGTAGCGTAGTGCCTAAGTCATTTGACTGCTAACCAGAAGGCTGATGGTTCAAACCCATCAGCCACTCCTTGGAAGGAAGATTGGGCAATCTACTTCTGCAGTGATAGGGCCTTGGAAACCCAAGGAGGGGTCGCTGTGAGTCAGGTCCGACTCAAGGGCACATAACAACACCAACATGACTTCAGTGGGTGATGAAAGGGGAAGTGTATTTAAATAAAAATAGCAACTGTTGCTAAAATAATCAGATAGCATTAAGCAAAGATAAATAAGTACCTCTTAGAGTGCACTTCCTTCGATTACTTATACAAAACCAAAAACCAAACTCACTGCTATTGAGTCCATTCAACTCATAGCAACCCCTCCTTGGGTTTCTGAGGTGGTATCTCTATGGGAATATATTGCCCAAGCTTCCTTCTGAGGAGTGGCTGGGGGTTTTGAACTGCCAGCCTTCTGGTTACCAGTCAAATGCCTTAGGCACTATGCTACCAGAGCTCCTTAGAAGCTCTACATAAAAATGTAAACTTAACTAGCGGTAGACTGCTCTCTTGCTCCTGAAATTATTAATACGGTTATAGATAATAGAGGACATAGATCAAAACACGGAAATCTCAAAGTGAAGTAACTGAAACACTAAAAGCCTAATTCATTTTGTCAGTAATAATTTAGTGGAAAAACGGAGCAGAATTTTGAAGACGTGTCCAGTGCAGTTCTGCACAGAAGTCAGATCATGTAACAGAAACCACTTGCAAAGCTGAGGGGAAATTTTAAAAAATTATATATAGAAAACAATGAATATAGTTAAAAATTTTCCATAACTTATAAAAAATTGCTTTTATGTGCTTTCCATGCTTTTTTCATGGTTTAAGTTTAGTAAATGTTGTGGGATGTTAGACAGACAGGCATTGTTCTTATGGGTAATTCTCATCTACGTTTGGTATTCTAAGTGTAATGTTAAAGAGAAACCAGGATGAATAGTTGAATTAATTGAATATGCTAAACTTCATTAACTTTTTATTATGGGAATTTGAAAATGAATACAAACACAAGACAGTAGTATAATAAACTTCCATGTGCTCATTACCGGGCTTCATTAGATAAGTTGTGGTCAGTCTCTATTGCCTTCTCCCCCAGCTGTGTTATTTTGAAGCACTATTTTGAATGCCATTTCATCCTTACATATTTTAGTATGTTTGTCTAAGAGATAGAGACTTAAAAATCATAATTGCAATACCATTATCATACCTACAAATCAGTTAATAGTGATTCATTAATATTATCAGCTATGTAGTAATGTTAAGATGTTCAATTGTCTTATAAATGTAATTAAAAATATTTTACGGGCTAACAGAGGAATCAAAGTCTAAATGAGATCCATTCTTTGTGATTGGTTTGCTGTGCTTTTGAGACTTAAAAGTTCTTCCTCTATTTCTCCCTCCCTCTTTCTCTTTTATTTTTTTGTAATTTATTTGTTCAAGTAATTAGGTGGTTGGTTGAGTTTGCGATGGCCTAGTTTTTTTTAAATAATTTTATTTCTGTTGTTGTTCCTGAAAATGTACACAGGACATATGCCAATTCAACAGTTTTTCCATGTATAATTCAGTGACATTGAGTTTTCAAGTTATGCAGACATTTTCACTCCATGGTCTAGTTTTTGCTGATTGCAGTCTGTGGTATAATTTAACATGTTCTTGTGTTCTCTCAATTTCTTGTATACTGGTGGTTGCATCTAGGGGCAATAAATACTTTTTGTACTTATCATTTGTAATCTCTTTAATAGCTGAATATACACATTAAATTTAAAGTGGGAATGCTGAAAATAATCCCAGGGGATTTTTTTTTAAAGAATCACAGTTTATTAACACATTATTATATACTTGTTTTTGTTGTTGTTATTTGTTGTTATGTGCCGTCGAGTAGGACCCGACTCTTAGCGACCCTTCCTTGGGTTTCCAAGGCGGTATCACTATGGAAGTAGATTGCCCAACCTTCCTTCCAAGGAGTGGCTGGTGGGTTTGAACCGCCAGCCTTCTGGTTAGCAGTCAAGTACCTTAGGCACTATGCTACCTACTTGTTTTTAAGACATCATAATTTACTATGACATTTGTTAAAAACTTTTAAAATTTGTTTACTTATTTTTATAGTATGTTAAAAATTGGATCTATACATACTTTTTATCTTTAAAAATATGCAAACATTTTTCTTCTTGCAGACTGAGTAGGATACACTGAGAACTAGTTTTTAAGTTGGCAGTTTCCCTTCCTTTCTTTGTGTTGGTCTGTGGGGCTTTGGATGTTAGCAGTTTCTTTATTGGGCAAGCTGGAGGCAGAGGAGAACAGGAATGACAAAAACTAATATCAGCATATAATTTATAGTAAATATTCATTAAATATATGAAATTGTTATCATTTTAATGAAGCCTAGTAAGTAAGAGTAGAAGCCCTGGGTTGTGAAAATGGTTAATGCACTCACCTGTCAACTGAAAGATTGGAAATTAAAGAGTCCTTGGAAGTAAGTGCAGCTAATCTACTTCTAGAGCCATTGAAAATCCTCTATATGAAACAAAAACATGAGCAGCAGAAGACAAAATGAGTAATTGAGACATCATAAAAATTAAATACTTTTGTTCATCAACAAAGTGAAAAGACAGCCTACAGATTGGAAGAAAATTTAGAGAACCATAATCTGATAAGGGTCTAATATCCAAAATATAAGAAACTGCTACAACATAACAACAAAAAAACAAGTCAATCAAAAACTTAGGAAAAGACTTTAACAGACATTTCAAGAGGATATTCAAATGGCCAACAAGCATATGAAAAGATGCAGCTTAGTTATCTAGTACTGCTATAACATAAATATCACAAGTGGATGGCTTTCACAAACAGAAATTTATTCTAGTCTTGGCTTGATAGAAAGGCTTTCTTTCTCCATGGCTCCTGGTCTTAGGATGTTCCCAGCACAGTGATGCTTGGTCCAAAGGATGGGCTCTGCTCCTGCCTCTTATTTCTGGGTGGCAGGAGGTCCTCTGTCTCTTTGCTGGTGTGTCTCTCCTTTTATCTCTTGTAAGATAAAAGGTGTTACAAGCCATGTTGTTGTTGTTGTTGTTGTTATGTGCCGTCGAGTCGGCCCCGACTCATAGCGACCCCTCCTTGGGTTTCCGAGGCAGTATCACTACGGAAGTAGGATTGCCCAACCTTCCTTCCGAGGAGTGGCTGGTGGGTTTGAACCACCAGCCGTCTGGTTAGCAGGCAAGTGTCTTAGCCACTATGCTACCAGAGCTCCTGTTACAAGCCATACCACATGGAAATTCCCCTTACATCAGATCAGGGCTGTAGTAGGATTAGGGTCTTGTGTCCCACCCTAATCCTCTTATAATTGATTGGCTGATTATATCAGATCCTATCGTGAGGGATGGTTATGTAACTTCCGTATTATATGTCATTGCATAACTGCCAAACCACTGAAAATCATGGCCTAAGCAAGTTGACATATATTTTTTGGGGGACAAAGATTCATGATAGATGCTCAACATCATTAGCCATTAAAACCAAACTCACTGCCATCGAGTAGGTTCTGATTCATAGTGACCGCACCTTGGGTTTCCGAGGCGGTATCTCTATGGAAGTAGATTGCCCCGTCTTCCTTCTGAGGAGTGTCTAGTGGGTTTGAACTGCCAGCCTTCTGGTTAGCAGTCAGATGCCTTAGGCACTACATCACCTAGGAAGATGCAAATCAAAACTACAATGAGATACTACCATAACCTCATTAGAATGGCAGTGATTAGAACAAATGAGCAAACAAAAAACCTAGAAAACAACAGGTATTGATACGGTTGTGGAGAAACTGGAACCCTCATCTTTTGCTGGTGGGAATGTAAAATGGTACAGCTGCTGTGGAAGACAGTTTGTCACTTCCTCAAAAAGCTGGACATAGAACTCCCATAGGACCCAGCAATCCAAATTCCAGATATATACTCAGAAAAAGTAAAGGCAGAAACACAAACAGAAACCTGTATATCAGTGTTCATTGCTCTTTCAGTAGCCAAAATACAGAAACAATGAAATGTCCATCAACACATGAATAGATAAAACAAAATGTGGTATATGTAATGGAATATTGTTGTTGTGTTGTTAGGTGGTGTCGAGTTGGTTCTAATTCATAGCTGCCCTACATACAGCAGAACAAAACACTGCCTGGTCCTGTGGTGTCCTCACAATTACATCTGTGTTTGAGGCCATTGGTACAGCCACTATGTCAGCCCATCTCATTGAAGAGCTTCCTCTTTTTTGCTAACTCTCTTATCTACCAAGCATGATGTTCTTCCCTTGGAACTGGTCACTCCTGATAACATGTGCAAAATACGTTTGACAAACTCTTGCCATCCTTGCTTCTAAGGAGCATTCTGGCTGTACTTCTTCCAAGACAGATTTGTTCCTTCTTGTGGTTGTTGTTGTTGTTATGTGCCATCGAGTCGGACCCGACTCATAGCGACCCCTC